TTCACATTTTTCTCATATTTAGATCTAATGGTAAATGGAGGGTCAAACATTACTTTCACAACGCTTATAGAACATTTCAGAATAATTTTGAAAGCACGTTCAACTCTGTCTAATTATCATAAAAGCTTCAAATAGAATGAATGGAACGGCAGAATGGTACATAGGTAATTCCACTTTGTTTGGTTAATATGTGCAAGTGCTTTTTACTATATAACTATAAAAATTTGGCTAAAAACGACTCCCAAACAGGGGCTAAATGTCCTACTAATTATATATGTTGATGTTTACCATATTTAAAAAGATTTTTGTAACGATATCACCTTGATCCCAACCACGGCCTACCAGATTTGACCTCAGACCATGACATGGTTCACGAGAGATCGTGTCCATCTCGTACTTATATATATTGTCCACAGAAGATTGGATCGTGACGTGAATTTGTTTCACATCTTTAGCCATGATCAACGTTGTATTGTTACAAGTTTAGCTTATAATTAATATAGAGTAATGCTATTCATCCTCATTGGGGATGAAAACACAGTTTACATGACGTCAATGTGACATTAAATGATAGACGAAATTAAATAAGTCATTTAATTTCACCTTTCATTTAACATATCATTTAAAGCCGCGTAATCTGTATTTTCATCCCCACTGGGGATGAATAACATTACTCATTAATATATGGTGTTCAACATCACTAATTATTATTACTCACTCTTTGTTTGTTGTCTCCATTCATTATTCATGGAAGGTGACCCTCTCGACCTCTTATGGACCCAAGTAATTAGGAACACAGCTAAGATGACCGTTGCAAAGGGGAAAGTCATAAAAATCTAATAAATACTAACCTTCTAATCCACCAACTTTTAAAGGCAATTAGCCCATCAAAACATTAAAGCAACATGGATGGTCTCTTTTAGTTCCCTTTAATATATGTAACAGCCTTTCTTTTATTATTATTATTATTATTATTATTCCCTTTAATATATGTAACAGCCTTTCTTTTATTATTATTATTATTATTATTATTATTATTATTATAAAGGCAATTAGCCCATCG